TATTTTTTGAAATTAACAAGGATGTACGAAGATTACTTAGAGGACATGTTATTGGCCCCACTCCGACAATTCGATTGGTTTAAACGTTTGAAGAGAATGAGGAGGGAAGAAGAAAACGATGAGTCAAGCGTCAGTCAGAGAAAAATCAGTCGAGAAATATCCGACTGTCTTGTCCTATTTTTGCTGTACAGTTTTGTTGCAATCCCAGCAATTCCATCTGTCCTGGTTTGGGCGAAAAATTTCAGGTATTTATTAAAACTTTCGATTTAAGACTTCCGTCTTCTCGTTACAGTGGTATTGAATTGTGACAGAATAGACGTGAAAAGAATTAGTCAATCAATCGTCATAATTTAATGTGACTGTAATGAAAAAGCAGAATTTATAAAATCGTAATTTTCATAAAAATTAGTTAACGAAAATGGACGTACTTATTACAGATATGATAGGAGACTCTCGACAGAAGACCTTGTCCTTTTCATAAGTTGGTCGATATTAGCTTCATGCAGTCTCTTAGATATCGTACAGTACTCTTTTGTACCTCGGATCAAGGGATATCGCTCGCTTATATTAAGCAATATATTACGTTTCACGAGTTGGGTCATTCTTTCCATGACAGCAGCTCCGCGTCCATCCTTTTACCAATGGTGTATGCCACCTATTACTGCTGCAGCAATGGCACTCCTCACACTAAATTCCTTTTCTCTATTTTAATTAAAGTACTAATTGACAGAAATCATGTTTACAGTTTACAATAATTGGCAGAAATGTGTATCACACAGTTTTTTCCTATACAGTTCATCATTAATTTTGTATAAAAATCTAAAGTTTCGTAACCGCGTAACATTATTAAAATTTGTGTTACATGTTTCTAATATTACAAATTGAATGATAACAACATGCTGTGACTCATAAGTGTGATTGTATATAACAGTAATCAAATAGTAATCACGCTAAACAGGATGAAACTTACCTTAAGTTCGCGTTTAGCACATGTCATGTGTTAACATTAATTGTAAGATAGCCAAAGAACATTTATATACTATAATACGAAAGCTTAGCTCTTAACTCTTATTGTGATATATGTGATATATAAGATAAGTCTTCTTCAGACATAATATAATTTGTTAGACAAAAAATTTAATCCTTAATTTGCAATATCATTTAATAACTTAAATACCACTATTAACTTATACCACTATTTA